CGGCGGCGGGGCGCCCCCTCCCCCGTGCCGGGGCGCGGCGGAGGGATGTGGGGCTTTGCGGGAGGAAGGCTTTTCGGCATCTTCTCGGCCCCGGTGCTGGTGGCGGTGGTGTGCTGCGCCCAGAGGTAGGGTCGCGGTGGGTTGACGGGAAGCGGGCCCGGAGGCGGGCAGGGCGCGCGGTGTGCGCGCCGGGCGCTGGAGGGGGAGCCTCCGCCTGACCCTGTTCTCTGTGCCCCCTGCCCCCCTCTCCCAGCGTGAACGATCCCGGGAACATGTCCTTTGTGAAGGAGACGGTGGATAAGCTGTTGAAAGGCTACGACATTCGCCTGAGACCCGACTTCGGGGGTAAGTGGGGTGAGTGCGGCCGCTGCGGGAAGCGCGACCCCCCGCGCCGGCGGCCTGGGTGGAGGAGGGCGGCGGGGGCCGCATCCGCTGAGCTGCGGCGGGCACGGGGTGGGGGGCACCTCGCCCGCGCCCCCTCCCGCGGTAGCCCCTCGTCCTCAGAGCCACCGCACCCCACGCCGGAGCCTGGCTGACGCCGTGTCGCTCGCTTCCCGCAGGTCCCCCGGTCTGCGTGGGGATGAACATCGACATCGCCAGCATCGACATGGTCTCCGAAGTCAACATGGTGAGTGCGCGCCCTCCCCAGGGCTGTCCCCAGCCCCGGGCCCGCTGTCTGGGTGGCAGGCGTCCACGGCGCAGGGCCGAAGGCCTCCTCGGCCGGAGCAAGCCTCCCCGGCCGCAGAGCCAGGCGCCCTCCGGGGCGCTGGCCGCCGGCTCTCCGGCTCCTCCACCCGCCGGGGTGTGTGTGGGGCGCCGGGGGCGCCGGGGAGGAGCGGAGGGCGCACCCTTCCTGAGGAAGGGGTCCTGGCTGGCCTGGGGCCCCGCTGTCACGGTCGCCCGCGTGCTCCCAGCTCCGCCAGCTGCTGTCACCTGGTGCTGTAGCTTCCTGAGCGCTGTCTCGCCTGCTTAGCAACAGGCGCTGGGGAGAGAGGCGAGCTGTGGGGGTGGCTGGTGTATTCTAGGTAAGAGGTACTTGAGGCTTCCTTTGTTGTGGTTGGAGACCGGTGCCGGTGGCGGGGAACTCGGGGCGCTGCGGGCCGGGTGTCCAGAGCCGGGCTGTTCCCGGGCGCGCCGCCGGGCTCTGTCCGAGGTGCTGACGGCCCTCAGGCTCTGGGGCTGGAGGCTGTGCGGGGCCGCCCTGCCGGGCAAGTCCAAGGCTAGTGACCCAGCGTCGCTTAGGGCTTCTGTGAATGCTGACAGGATTTCATATTCTGACCTGTGGAAAGCAGAGGTCAGTATCTGGAGGTGCGGAGCCGGCTGGTGCTGCGACGGCTTTAGGACGCGGGGATAATGAGAAAAATGACCCCTTTCCTTGGTTAATTGAGCTAAAAACACCAAGGGATTTGAAAACAGGTTTAATTTTCTGCTTAGGGGCACTTTAAAAATCCTCAGAATGGGCATTCGAAACATTCTTTGGAAGAACGGACAATGTTGAGAGTCTGGCGAGGTGGTTTCGGATGCAGGCCCGATTTCCAACTTTGGTGCACATCAGAATCACGTGGGCAAACTTGTTCTGAACGCGCACTCTCTGGTTCCCCACTTTAAAAGATTCTGATCCAGCGAGGCTGGAGTCTTGGGGTCTCTGCGTTAAAACTAGTTCTTCAGATTATTTTGAAGCAGTTATTTTGTGGACAGCATTTTGAAAAATATTGCAATAACTTAGAGAAGTAGGGACATACACATGTAGAAATAAACTAAAACTATCATTTTCAGTAGACGTCAGTGAGATATGTTTTTAAATATATATTGCTGAAGATTTTGTAGAAAGAAATCTTTGATCACACCAAAATATTTTCATTGATTTTTCACTTTTAACCTAAAGATTTTAAAATTACAGTGTATACTTCAAGACAAATGTGACTTTCTTTCAAAGTATATCCCTTAGGACATTTGCATATCAAGGTATTATAATAATAAAAGAGAAACACACAGGAAATGTGACTTTACATAAATTACCTTACAGTAAAAATTAACATGTATATTTCATTTTTCAGTTTTATAAAAGATTTCATCCAAAAGGTATGTTTTATGGTCTGGAAAAAATAAATTATATAAATTCAAGGTCCATCTGTGATTTTCCCAATGGAGAACTTCATATTAGATAACTTAGTACGGTATTTAATTGGATGTGTACATATTTAGTGGATTATTATGTCAAAAATCATTATCTTGCATGTCAGGTGGCAGAGAAGATGTTTTGACGTGGCCCTTCGTGAGCTCCATACAAAGTTAAAACAGCCAGCAAAGTGTTTGGTTGGAGTCATTTTTTAAACTTAGTTATCCAGTCATTGTGGCACCACACCAAACCTTGGCACATTTAAAAACTTCATCAATACTTGCCTAATTCATGGACTGTGAATTGAGGGGTCTCCATGTTCTCTGAACCCAATGATGGGAAGACAAATTGAAGATAAAGGCCGTTATCTTGAAGGGTCTATAAGTGCGTGTCCCCTATCTAGTAACTATTCCTAACAGCCACAGCGTACTGGTGTGCATTTTTTTTCCTTTTGCATTCTCATGATAACTTTTTTGGCTCTCTAAGTAGAAATTTATTATAAACAAAAATTGAGGATTAATAGGATTGGATACTGCAGGCTGTTGGGCAGACATGACTGACAGGCATTTAAAATACCTTCCTCCCTTGTGTTGCGCCTGTGGCTCAAAGGACTAGCGCCCTGGCACCATGTGCCGGAGGTGGTGGGTTCAAACCCAGTCCTGGCCAAAACTGCAAAAAAAAAAAAAAAAAAAAAATTAAAATTAAAAATTAAAATACCTTCTCCCACAAGCAGATTGGTCCATGTCATGTTCTAGAAAAACCTGATTTTTCTTAACATGTTCGTGCATAATAATAGCTGTGATATTTCGCCTGTTATTAAAAGGTACTCACACAAAGCAATGAAGTATCATTCTGGGGGTTGCATTTGATAGGGAATGAACAGAGACTGAGCCACCACTCAAATCATGTTTAAAAACAATAAATTCTATTTATGAGCTTCCTTGATAAACTAGTCAGTCGTTGTAAGTTATGAAACTAATTAAGACGTGGTCTCCCTTAAAGGGTGTTGTAATTATTACAGGAGATTGTGTCAAATGGTCCTAACAAGACGTAGGAAGTGTGAGAGCCATCAGAGCAGCAGAGGACGGACACACGGGGGGGGGGGGGAGGAGACAGGAGAGGGAGGTTAACGTGGCTGTGGAAAGCTTCATGTAAGAAATTCTATTTCAATTGGGTGAGGGGGATGAATAAAATCCTGACTGTCATATGCAGAGGATATTCTGGGTTAGGAAAGAAAATAGCAAAGATGTGGATGAAAGGCTGAGCAGGACTGTGAAGTGGAGATTTGAGAGCTGAAATTGGAAGAACAGGCAGGACTAAGCCCAGGGCACCCAGGACCCTTCTGTGTGAACCAAAAGGGTTCAGACTGATGTCTGAATAAAGAGCCATACATGTAATGTTTTAAATTCAGATTTGATTGATGTAATTTGAGATGTGCTTTAAAATAAATGTTTTGTCAAAAGTGTAAATTTAGGGCAGCACCCATAGCTCAGTGGTTAGGGCACTGACCACATACTCGGAGGCTGGCGGGTTGGAGCCCGGCCCGGGCCTGCTAAACAACAATGACAACTGCAACCAGAAAAATAGCCGGGCGTTGTGGCAGGTGCCTGTAGTCCCAGCTACTTGGGAGGCTGAGGCAAGAGAATCGCTGAAGCCCAAGAGTTTGAGGTTGCTTGGAGCTGTGACACCACAGCACTCTACTCCTCAGTGACATAGTGAGACTCCATCTCACAAAAAAAAAAAGTAAATTTAGACAGAGTGTAATATAGTTGGGTTGCGCCTAGCGACCTTGCTGATTAAGAACAGAGGAGTAAGGATGCTGAAGTGGAAGAAAAAATTTAAAAGAAAATTAGGAATAAATGGGGCACAGAAGGTCAGGTGTTGGAATTTCCTAAGTTTTCATAGATATATTTTTTAAAATGTGTATTAGTGAAACAAATAAAAATTAACCAGTATTTGAAATAAGGATGTTGAAAAACGTGTATTTTAAGGGGGAGAGCTATGTGTATGCACATTGATGAGTTTTTTAGAGGTGATTGCAAAAAACGTGGCAGATTCTACACAGTACAAAGGCTTTGCTTTATTTAAGCAGTTGTAAAATATGATGTATTTCCTGGTAGTGTATGTAGGTGAGGCCTCCCCCAAAATGTCTTTGACCTCAAATAAACAAATATACAGATAAGTTATGTGTGTCCGTGTGTGTATTACCCTCATTTGGCGTTTTCTATAAACAGAGTTGAATGCTTTTAATATTTAGCCTTAGGCTTTGCCATAGCTTGTTTCATGGATAGTGGAGATAGTTTACCTTTCTGTTTTTTCTAAATCTTTTTATTTTTGTTTTCATAGACTTCATTTTTTTTTTTATGCTTAAATTAGTTGGAATGACAGGGGTCAAGGTATTTGTTTTATGTCACTTTCCTTGTTTCTCTTAGCTCTAGTTTTAAAATTTCCAATAATCTAAATTATGCATAGTCAACTAATTATTCAGATTTAGTCCACGTATTCCTTTAAGTGAGATCGTATATGTGCAAAACCACGGTGTATTGAAAATTACTGCATGTGTGTAGTAATGTTGGTGCTTATTAGCTGTCCTAGTATATGATAATCGTGTGTTGAATAGAGGAATAAATGGAAGACAATTATTAAAAATATAGTATGCATAAGGAAATATTAAAAAACAAAACAATCAGGACATTTTAATCAAAAAATACTTTAAAATAGGAGTTTTTTTTTAATTTAGTAGAATGAACCATTTGTTTGATTTGTTAAGTCAGAGCAGAAGTTACATGTACAGACTTTTTCCTTAATTAACTATAAAGTATCAAGGATGCAAAACTAGATTCAAACTCTGGTGATATTGTTACTAATTTCTGTGATTTAACATGGGCTTTGTTACTTTATACTTAGTCAGTCTATTAAAATTAACCTTAATGAAACTACAACTACAATTTTTTTAATTTCAAGCATATAAATCATACAGTATTTTCCTTTTTAAAAAATTACAGTTCCTTTTGCGTAACATGTAATGTGTATCCTTAGTTATTACGAAATGTATTTATTTGTTTGTTTGTTTGTTTTTGAGACAGAGTCTCATTATGTCACCCTTGGTAGAGTGCTGTGGCGTCACAGCTCACAGCAACCTCAAACTCTTGGGCTTAAGAACTTCTCTTGCATCTGCCTCCCAAGTAGCTGGGACTACAGGAGCCCGCCACGATGCCCGGCTAGATTTTTTTGTTGTTGTTGTTGCCGCTGCCAGAGTCGTTGTTTAGCTGACCCAGGCCAGGTTCGAACCCACCACTCCCATGTACGTGGCTGGAGCCGTAACCACTGTGCTTGGGGCACAGAGCCTGAAATATATTTATTATGTTAGTTCTATTGTATTCATTTCTCACTTGTTGCATTTTCTTCTTTTGGTGGGGTCTAAGTATGAAGTTAAACGTGTTACAAAGAACATAGTTTTAGTTCTTTTCAAGAAGCAGCTTTGTAGCTGCAGCGCTATTAAATGGATA